TCTCTTCCTGAGTCCAAATAGGGAGACAAGACAGTGTGAGCAGCCCATCCTTCCCATTTCCCACCCCCTCCTGACAGCCAATCTGAGAGGCGGAGTAAAGGAGTAAACCCTGAGGTGAGGTACGGCCACCACCCTGGGCAGCTGGGAAAGCAGCGGTCTCTCTTGTGGTGGCCCAGACGCCGTTGGGAGGGGTCGCCGTCGGCTTAGGCATCACACAGAGAAGATCTACGAACAGCTTTAATGGCACATAGTCCCTCCAGTGACAAGTGGTGCGTACAGGGAGTCCCCTCCCTCTGACCCGCCCAGTCAAGGACCATTGCCAGTCAGGGCAGGATGGTAGCCGTCAACGGTTCTCAGAGTCCCATCATCCCAGGACGGTTGCAGGACGGTTTTCCAAGCTGCCCACAATCCCCTGATGGCCCTTTGCAACCTTCCTTGCTGGCTTTCCAGAAAGGCTCCCCCCACCTGGAGGGAAGGCCCAGCCTTACCTTGTGGGCAGCCTTGGCCAGCTTTCCAGCCTGCTTCCTGGGTTTCTTGTGGCTCTTCTCCAGCCTCTTCCTTCCCTGGATCTAAAAAGCACAACTGCCGGTGGTCCGGAAGCCCCCCCGCCCCCTTGGAGAGCTTCCTAAGTGAAAGAATCTCCCTGTGTGGATGTGGCCCGTTTTCCCCAGAGTCTCTTCCGTGGCTCCCTTGGCGGGGCCTGAGGCTGACCAACAATGGGGAGACCCAGAGAGGCCTCCTTGGCCAAACGGGGGAGCCCAGCTCCACTCACTGGGCAGGGCTGGGGGGTCTGAGCTGCAGCCCACCTTGTGGCTGGTGTCCAGGGGAAGCTGCTTCCCAGAGACGGCCTCTTCTTCCCACTGGCGAGTTCTGTGTTCCTGGGGAAAGGAAAGCCGCGCCTGAGCCATCAAAGGGGACACCCTCGGAAGAGGCAGGCCTGAGGAGCGCTCCTGCCGGCCACGAGCCCCGGTCCTCTTCGCTGCCCCCTCCCCCTTCACAAGGATCCCAGCCGCGGCCCTCCTGCTGAGCGGAAGTGTCCCCTCGGGGGGAGTCCCAGGTGGCCGACTTCTCTCCCCAGGCCCCTCCCTAAGGGGAAAAGAGGCCCCGGCTGCTCTGAATCCAGGTCCCCAAGTGGCAGAGAAAAACCACCCCTTGCCTGCAACCCTACGGCAGCCACGCTCCCCCACCAGGCCACCTGGGTGGGGGGGGGGTCGGAGCCGCACCACTCAGGCCTCTCTGGTCTCCGGAGCCTTCAGATGCGGCAGGGGCAACAGCCGCCGGACTGGCTTTTTGCTGGGAAAGGGTGGGGGCGGCATCCAAAGAGCGGCAAACGGAGCACCTTGAAAATCCTGATCTTCTCCTCCAGCCACTCGCGGCTGAGTTTCCGGACAGCCTCTTTGGGGTCCCCCATCTCCACCATCCAGGAGTTCATCTCCTTGAAGAAAAAGTTGTGGGGGTCCTGAAGCCCCAACTCCTGGAACATGCGCTTGAAGACTGCCCTGGACGGGGGAGAGGAGAGCCTGCCTTAGCCAGAGCTTCGTAGCAACAGCACAGCCCCAAAACACGACGCAGGGAGGGAGGGCCCCACTCCTTGTGTTGCCCCAGCCTCCTGCCACAAAGACAGTCGTGTGGCACTCCACAGCAGACGGGCATCCCCCTGGGCAGCCACAGGAGCCGCAGCAGGAGAGGGGCTTCCAAGGCAGCCCTAGACGACTGCCGGGATCTGCCCCCTGGAGGGTTTCCTGCCCAGGGCTCCTGCAGAGAGGCCAGCCAGCCCCGGGGCAGCAGCCAAGGGGGTCTACCAGCACAAGGGATCAGTCTCCTCTGCACCACAACCATCCTGAATGCCAGGCCCCATGTTCCACACAGCCGGGAAGCAGCATGCCTCGGAGCTGGCACAGTGGCTTCTTTGTCACCAGCCGGTAATGGCTACCCGCCTTCAGCCTGAGCTCCCAGAGGGTCCAGCCTTCCCTCGTGAGAAGGTCCAGGCCGAAATCCACCAGCGGTGCCCGCCCCTGGGGGCTTCCATCCCAGGAAGACAGCTCCCCCCTTTCCTGGGCCAAGGAAGGGCGCTTTCCCCAGGCGGAAACCTGCAGGCCTGGTTCTCCCGCGGCACCCTCACCGGGCGTACGGAGCAGCCAACAAGTAGCAGCACATCAGCTCCACCATCAAGTCCAGGCTGTCTTTGTCCAGGTCCAGGAGGACGCGCAGGGCGGCCAGGATGAACTGCTCCTGGCTCTTTTCCTAGAAAGGGGAGGGGGAGGCCTTAGCCGGCAGCCCTCATGGGAGGAGGGGTCAGGGCAGGGCCCACCTTTACCTCCCTCCTCCCCCGTGGGGCTGGGATGCGGGTGGCTCTCTGGTGGACCCCGACTCTGCCCAGATGCCTCCCATCCCAGGGGGAGCCCCAGTGGGGCATCCGGGGCCCTCCCGCCAGGCCCCCTCCTCGCCCCCGGGCTGCCCCTCCAGCACCCGGTGGCAGAGCAGCCTCACCTGCAGAGAGGGGGTGTTGCCCTCCTGATTCAGCACTTCAAAGAGGGTGTACTGGATCCACCTCTTCGCTTTGTCCTCCAGCTGGTCCTCCAGGTAGGTGATGGCGCCCAGCACTTCCGTCTTGATGTGGAAGTCGGAGGTGACCAGCGACTGCTGCAGCTTCCTCACCAAGGCGTGCAAGGGCATCTCAGGGCGGACACCCTGCGGAGAGGGGGAGCCCCGCTCAGGAGGAGGAGGCAGCTGGGGCTAAGCTCCAGAGGAAGGGATCCATTGCAACCAAGGCCCACTGCCTGGGTCCCACCAGACAGAGCCCCCTTGGAGAGGGGACCCAGAACATAGCTCTTCCACTTGAACAGATGGGAGGGGTCCCTCAGGTGACCTGGCCCCATGCCCAAATGTTAATGAAACACAGGCAGGGGGTACCCCCATGTTCATAAGAGGAAGTCTGCATTGGGCTTCCCACCCCTGAACCTGAACCCTTTGACCCCTCAGGCCTCTCCCGACCCTCCGATCCACACCATCCCCCTTACATGTTGGGCCCAACTCGGGCTGTCGGTTTCTACTTCAGTGAAGCAAGCCGACATCGCCACTGTTTGTGCCCAGGTTGACTTCCGCATTGGGGCACCGAGTGGCTATCGGTGACGTTCTCTTCAGTATTTGGAAGGGGACCTCAAGGCTGAGCCCCAACAGGGTGCGGTTTCCTATCAATCGAGGCAAAAGTTTCCCCTGCTGGGGGTCTCTGACTCTGGAGGGAGGGGCTCATCTCCATCCCCTGGCCAAGAAGGGCCAGCATGGTCCAAAGATGCTTCATGGTCCCTGCGGCCAGCAGGCACACACAACACTCCTACCTTCCCACCAAAGTGGTACCTATTTTATCTACTCACATTTGCATGCTCTCGAACTGCTAGATGGGCAGGAGCTGAAGCCAGTAACAGGAGCTCACCCCTTCATGCGGTCCTTGGCTCTTGAACGTGGGCAGCTTTTGTCTTTAACCACTGAGCCGTTGTGCCCCCTTTTCTATCAATGGAGGTCACTAACCCAAGGCTAGCCCGCCCCCAAGAAGGATGGAGGGCAGGGGCCCTGGAAAGTGAAAGAGGTGGGAGCAGGACTCCCTCGGTCTCCTTGGGTCTCCCGGGGGCCCCTCACCTCTGGGAAAAGGTTCTGGAACCACTCTTGGCCCACAAAGGGCAGCACAAATGCCGGCAAGGCCTCCTGTGGCTCTGCGTACTGGGACTCGTCCAGCTGAGTCAGGAAAACCCCAGGCAGGCTCTGAAATGAGGGAGGGCAGGGGGGGCCACGTCAGGGCAGCCGGTGCGTTTGCTGGGTTCCTTCCTGGGCGCCCCTTGGGATGGCAGCCAGGGGAGCCCAGCAGTTGGGGGGGAGGGAGGGGGGCACCTGCTTTGTGGAGGGGGCATCTTCCTTGGCTGGCCTGATCCAGGACTTGGAGGAGCTCTCCTGGCCCACCAGCCACGGTTCTTCCTCGGACACTTCGTCCTCCTCAAACGTCCACACTGAACTGGCCTTGGAGGAGCTCTGGGACACCTGGCCGGCAAAGGAAGGGAGGGAGGGGTCCCTCACTGGCCCCCAAAACCCAGCCCTCCCTCTGCGCCCACAGGCGGCAGGCAGAGGAGCAAGTGGCAGGGCAGCCCTTCCCTTCCGGGGCCCCCAGGGCAGCTGGAAAGCAGAGAACGGCTGGCATCGCTTTGTGGAAGTTGGCTGGGATTCCCTGAGCCTCCCCCTCTCCTCTCCAGGGAACCTGAGCCGCTCCCGGGAATCCTCCTCCCTGGGCTTAGAACAATCCGGCCTTTTGCCAGCTCAAAGGGGGCGGGCAATCCTTGGCAACTGGGGAGTTCTGGGAGTTGAAGTCCACAAGCCTTGAAGTCGCCCAGGATTGGGCCCCCTGACCTGGGAATGGCTCTTGCTCCTGTCCATCACGGTCAACTCCCTTCGGCTCCCTTCTGCACTTGGAAGGAGGCTGAAGGAGTTGATCCTCCGCCCGTCCCAGCCTGTGAGGGTCCTCAGGCCCCTTGGGGCAAGGGCCGCGGGCAGAGAAGCCAGCCTCTGGCCTGCCTACCCAGAACCCCGAGGCTGCCCGGCCTTTCCAGAGGCTCTCTGCCCCCTGAAAGGGCTGAGAAGGGGATGGAGGTACAGGTGGGGGACTCTGCAAAATCCTGCAGTGGGAACCACCCTTGGGGGAGGGGTCTGTAGCGCCAGGGCAGACCCCCAAGCCAGCCTCCAGCGCTGCACAGTAGCCAGCTCAGCCGTGGCTCTTCGGGTGGTCGGGCCCCCTGGTCCCTCGTCTCAAATCGCCCCCTCGCTTGGCAGGTTCTGCCCTCCGCGGGACTTCTCATCTTTCATCCTTTCGTTCCCGCTCCCTCCCTTCCCTGTGTGTGTGTGGGGGGGGGGGGTTTGCCCAAACCAGGCGATATTTCAAGCAGGAGGGGGGGTCCTCCCAGGGAAGGGGATGTGCCTGGGAGTGAAATGGCACCCGCTGAGGTGGGGGCACAGCCTCCGTGCTCTGGCAGCAGCTAACAGGCTGTCCTGGGGGGGGGGGGGGGGGTTTGCCCAAACCAGGCGATATTTCAAGCAGGAGGGGGGGTCCTCCCAGGGAAGGGGATGTGCCTGGGAGTGAAATGGCACCCGCTGAGGTGGGGGCACAGCCTCCGTGCTCTGGCAGCAGCTAACAGGCTGTCCTGGGGGGGGGGGGGAGGCGTTCCCCGCCCTCAGTATCTCTAAAGAAGAGCAACCTGGCGCCACTTCTCCCGGGTGCCAAGCCAAAAGGGCTCCCGGGCTCCCCTGAGGGGCTCACCTTCTGGGGTCCAATCACCTTCACCAGCTTCTCCCCCTCCAGCAGGTCTGCGGTGTGAAGCTGCTGGACGACCACGGAGTTGGGGATGAAGCCCGAGGATATTTTGGGCAGCTGAAGGCTCTTGAGCTCCTGGAGACGAGGAAGGAGGAGATTTGGGCAGCCCCCCTCCACCTCCCCCTGGAATGGGCAGGGCCTCCCAGGCGCCAAGGTGGGGCACCCACAAGGGCCCCTCCCTCGGCGAGGAGGACAACCTCCTCCAGAGCTGGTGGGGGGCAGCACAGGGAGGAAAATGCCCCCCTCCCACTAATATCACCATCAAGAGACAGGGCATGCAACCCTCTTGCTCTTGGCTTGGGGGGGGGCTGAAGGCACCCCCATCCATTCCCATAAAGCAGAGGCAGCAGCCCAGGAACCCCGGAATACGACGGCCGCTGCGAATGTGGGGCCAGAGGGCCTGATCCACTCCGGCCAGGAGGCTGAGAAGCCACTCTTTGGCTTTACGGGGGAGCAACTCAGCGCCCGGCTTTGTTCTGCCGCAGAGCCAGAGCCAGAGGGGAGGGGGGGGCGAGTGCAGTTGGCAAGGTGAGACCCAAAGGGAAGCCACGAGGGGGCCCAGGGTGCTCCTTGGCACGGGCTGACCATGGGGAGAAGAGGGGGGCCACCCGTAGACACCCTGCTTAGGACCGAGGTGGGTGGTGGGCAACGCAGCCTCCTCTCCCCCTCGCGGGTGCCCCCTGGCTCAGCCCGACGCTGGCCGAGGGAAGGGAAGGGCAGCTGCCCCCAAACGCTTTGCTCACCGCCAGAGACCCCGTTGGGCTGCTGGGCCTCTCTGGGAAGAAGCCCTTGACGATGACGGACGCCTGCGGGCTCCTCAAACGCAAGGTGGAGGCCAGGGACGCCTGGCTCTGCTGCCCTGACAGGGGCTCCCTGAAGAGGACGCTCTGGGCACACGACACCAGGAGAGGACGGGTGGGCACGGACACACACAGACACACACCCTTCTCACTGCAATGGCCTCCCGGGACCCCACCTCCACAGGAACCAGACCCCCTATTTTAAAAGGCTCCTGGTGGCAGGGAGTGGAGTGGGTGAAATCACAGGTGCCATCTGAAGACTCTGCCCACCGAGGCTTCCTTTAGAGCCCCCCTTGGGGAAGGGAGCATCTGCTGGGGCAACATTTCCTGGATGTGCAGGTGACTTCATGCCGCTGAGCCAGGGGGAGCAACCGGCAGCTGAAAGCCCCCCTCCTCCTGGTGGGAGAGCAGGTCTTCCCGCTGCCCCGGAGCCCTCCCTCCTCTCCACCCCGGCGTTCTCTCCCAACTCCGGGGCTAGAAACGCGCCATGGAGCCCCAGCGCCTGTGGGGTCAACCAAAGTCCTGGCCGGGGAGGGGGGACGGGGCTGGCGGCTGCAGGGGCCCCTTACCTTTTCACTCTTAAAGTGCCTGGTGGGGCTGGGGACCGAGGGGGTTTCTGAGGTAACCGAGACCAGAGATCCCAACGTTTTGACCGGGCTCAAGCGCTCTGCAGGCTGAGGGAGAGCAGGCCCCTTAGCGGGCTCTGGGCACGAACCCACCTAACTGCCCTTCTGATGTTTCCCTTTTGCCCGCTCAGCAGGACAGCCGGACCTCCCACACCAGCCCCCCCGCCCTGTGGCCCCTCCCCCATCTCCCCCCAAGAGGCACAACTGCTGCCCAAGCGCCAGGCCCACCCGGGGGAGCGGGCAGAGCGTCCGTCCGTCCTTTGCCTGCTGCTCTTCAGGAGCCTTAAAGCCAGAAGGGGGGCCTGGAAGATGGGGGGGGCAGAGCAGGGCTGGCCTGGAGTCCCCTGGACCCTTTTGCAGCCAAGGCCAGGGGGAGGGGGAAGCAAACGGCAGCCATGTCGGTGGAGCAGCCTCCCCAGAGCTGCTCGCCTGGACCCTCACCATGGCCGCCTCCTCCTCCTCGGGGCCTCTCTGCCTGGGCTGGAAGCCTTGCCTGCTGCCTCCCACTGACAGGGGCCGGAGGGCCTCGGGGGCTTCCTGCGTGGGGGCTGCTCCAGCCTTCCCCAGGGGGGGCGTCTCCTGCATCTGGGCAGAGGAGGGGCCAGCGCAGATTTCCACCTGAGAGAAGCCAGGGTGGGGGGATTTCAGGGCCTGGCCTTGGCAGTGGGGGCTTCAGGGGCCCAACCACCCAGGCCCCCCGCCCCCCCCCCCCCCCCCCCCCCGCTGCCAGAAGCCATTTCCCAGTTTGCTGATGGGAAACACCATTACATTTGGGGCTGGAAAATAATCCAATTAGCTGGACCCCATTTTAATTATCACCCCTCTTTTCTGGAATGAGGTTCCCAGCACCTCCCCCAAGCACCCCCCTCCCACCAATCTGGCACCTGGGCAAACAGACTCTCCTCACCTTCTTCCTCTTCACCTGAAGGGAGCCAGGAACTGCCAGAGAAGAGGTGCAACGCAGGGAGGGGCTGATATCCTGGGGGGGGGGAGAGGAAGAAAGGTCCCTCTGTAAGCAGGCCCAGCAAAGGGTGGGGGGCACTCAGCATACACCCTGCCCGGCCAGAGCCCTGGGGTGCAGAATGACACAGAGGTAGTGCAGCTGGACGTCCCGGGGGGCAGAGGGACTGCAGCTTTGGGGACCCCCCAAGGGGGAAAAAGAGGCGGCCTGGTCGGGTTCCGGGCTGGCTGCTCCCCCCCCCCCAGAATCCAACCAGAGACCCCAGGGACCCCAGAGAGGGTGAAAGGGCCCATTACGACAAAGAGGGAGCTGCCCATTTCGAGACTCCGGGGCTTTGTGAATCCTCCCAGGAACATGCGGGAGATGGCGGGTCCGCGGAGGGCAGAGAGAGGATCCATCTGGGCCAGGGATTCCAGCACTTCATCGGCATCGAAAGGATCCTCTTCAGGGATCTGTGGGGAGAAGGGGCAGGGCTGAGCTGGGATCCAACACAGGGGACCTAGGAACCTCCCCCCATTTGACAGGGGAAAAAGCTGCCCGTTATTAATATTGCCAGACTTGGTCAAGGGGGGGGGATCCCATGTACCAGCGGACTGCCAGCCTTCGCCTGGGTGCGCAGCCTTTTGCAGAGAACAGCCCCTCCCCATGCCCACTGCCCAGAAGAGCCCATGGCAGGGGAGGGCATGGGAGGAGCTCCATGGCACAGAAATGGTTGGGGCAGGAGTGGAGGAGCCCCGTGGTGCCCGGGAAGGCCACCAACAGAAGGGGGCTGGCACTGGGAAGGGAAACTCTTGAGAAGGGGCAGGGGGCTGAGGCCCAGACCCACCCTGCGCTCCCACCCCTCCCCAGCAGCCCCGCCAGCCGCAGCGCCACCTGCAGGTTGAGCTGCTCCTTGTAAAAGAAGCCCAGGTAGCGCCTGAAGGCTTCCTCCTGCATCTCTTTGGAGAGGGGTCCTCTCTTGGCCCGGCTGAGCTTCCCCTCCTGCAGCAGCTGCAGGTCCCGGTTCCTCTCCGCCACCTGCGCAATGCCCTGCAAAACCCGCCGGCTCTCAGCCTCCAAGCGCAGCGAAGCCCCCAGGTGGCTCCTGCTGTACTGTGCTCCCTCTGCCATCCCCCAGCTGCAGCCGCACCAGCCTCCCTTGTCCCAGCATGACTGACCTCTTGCTTGAGCCGGGCCTCCCTGACCTCCTTGGACTCCTTCAGGGGCACCTGGAAGGTGCTGGACACGCTGGACCTGCAGAAAGAGGAGCAGGTCCTTCTCCTGGCGGCCCCCAACCTCATCCCCACCCCCAGGGCTGCAGCTGCTCTGGCACAAGAGAGGCTTCCTCACAGAGGCCACGGAGCAGGAAACACCCCGCCCCCAAAATCCGGGAGGACCCAAGTAGCAGCTCCAGCAAATTCCCAACCCCCAGGAGGCTCCCCACCCACATTCCGGGCGGCCCTTCCTTCCACGGGAGTCCCGGCTGTGTCCCTTCCCTTCTTCTGGCTCTCCTCCCAGGGGGAGACGCCCTGCCCCACCTTTTCCCTCGGGCACCTCAGATACTTAGGACTTCCCGGTTAGAAACTGGGACCCCCTGAGGCGGGAGACCCAGCTGGGTGGCTCTATGCCAGTCGCCCTCTTTCGGCTCTGCGGAGAAGGTGGCAAGGCCGTCGAAGGGGAGAGTGGCGTGAAGGCGTGTGCAGACGCAGGCGCTCCCTCGCATGTGGAAAGCAGCGCAGACGCACCAGGCCTTTGAGAACCTAAAGGCGCCCCAAGGCGGAGGAGCCCCCAGAAGCAATGGGGACAGAGTGTAGGGTAGGGGAGTGTCCTGGGACCTCCGGTCTGATGCTCGGGGACCTACGCAGCAAGGGTGCTGGGGGACTGCTACCACCCGAGACCCCTCTCAGCCCAGGCCCAGGAGCTCACTCGGACTTCTCCACCGGCAGCTCCTGCCTCAAGCGGCGGTCGTTCTCTTGCACCAGGGCCTCAAAGGTGGAGGGGCTCATGGGCAGCGAGACGTCCTGGAGGGGCTCCAGGAACTTTGCCCACAGCAGCTGCAAGAGGAGGAGGAGGAGGAGGAGGGGATGCAGAGAGGCAGGCCCACAGCCCCGGGCCTTCGGGTGACCAGCAAGGGTGTCCTCTGGACCCACCTGCATCTGGTAGTAGCTGGGCAGGTACTGGGTGTGGGGGATGAGGTACAGGTGCTGCTCCAGGCCCACCAGCAGGTCCCCCTTGTGGTTAGCGAAGGCCAGGCTCTCCGGGATGGTGTTCAGCTTCAGGTGCCTGCAGGGAAGGCAGGCAAGGTTGGGGCCCTGGACCCCCAGATGGGAGACAGGGGAGGAAAGCCCACCCCCTCTGCTGAAAGAGAGTCCCAAGGAAGCGCAGAAGCAGCCTCTCTCTCTGTGGCAGGCAGGCTGGAGGCCAAGCAGAGGCGGCATTTGGAGAGCAGCCCCACTCACTGGCTGCCTGGAGCCCAGCTGGATGAGCCCCCCGAATGGGGCCCCTGTGGGGAGGAGGAGGAAAGCAGGGTCCAGGAGAAGAGATCAGCACTGCACTGGACCAGACTTGAGGGGGGGAGGCTTGGGCACAGCCACTCCCCTTTGCTGCTGCAGGGTTAGGGGGCAAGCTGCACCCACACGCTGGACCCACGTGCTGGCTCCCTCGGGACCAGGCCCTCGGCCCCCCCTCCACCCCGCCCCTCACCGGATCAGCTTGTTCTTGTGGTCCCAGATCTTCACCGACCCATCCCGGCTGGACGAGGCAAAGAGCTGGAGGTTTGGGCAGCAGCAGAGTCCTGGGAAGAGGAGGGGGACACACAGTGAGGGGTGGGGGAGGATGGAGCTGAGACCCGCCCAGTCCTGGTGGAACGACGTCTTCTGCCTCCCCCGGTCCCCATCAGGGCCCCTCTCACCCACCGGTGATGTCATCCTGGGCGTCATCCTCGGGTCCGTGCTCGGAGCGCGTCTGCTCCATCAGATTGTAGTGGACGATGCTGTAAGTGACCGTTTCGGGGTCCTGGAAGGCCACCGCCAGGGTCTCTCCCAGGAAGCACATGTGCCACGCAGGGGAGGCGCAGGAGATGCACAGGAGGAGGAGGAGGCTCTCCTCCGTGTAGGGGAAGAGGCGCCACATCTTCACCGTTAGGTCAGCTCCTGTTCCGGGCAAAGGCGCCACTTGGTTAGGGAAGGCTGGGAAGGGAGTTGCTGGAAGGGAGTGAGGTGGGGAAATGGCGAAAGTGGTACAGAGGGGGGGGGGGTCAAGAGCGAATGGGCAACGGAGGAAGGTGGGTGGAGTAGAAAAATGGGCCTGAGAGGACACCAGGAGGCGGTCCAGATGAGCGGATTCAGACCCGAAGGCCAGGCGTGCAGGTGGAAGCCAGGAAGGTTTGCTGGGATTCAAAGGGGGGGGAGGGGAGGGAGAGGAAGAGCCAATTCTGTTCAGAAGGTTTAGGTGGGCCACACACACCCCCCACCCGTCCTCCCTGCTTCACGATGCTGGCTCTTCCTCTGCCCTTGGCCCTCCCAAAGGCTGCGGGAGTCCCTCTTCTTTCGTGGGAAGTGGAAAGGCTCTAGAGTGGGATGCCTTCCCCAAAAACCAGGGCGGGGGGGGGGGGTTAACTGGGGTTTTTACAGAGAAGAAGCACCAAGAATCTCCAAGTATTATTGTGACACCACTGAAAAAAAGAGCAGCTTCAAACAATTGTGCAGGGAGAGCAAAGGCTCTGACACGCTGCTCCCCAGTGTGGGAATAACACAGCTGGAAGGGACCTTGGAGGTCTTCTAGTCCAACCCTTGCTCAAGCAAGAGACCCTGTGCTATTCCAGATGAATGGCTGCAACCCCCAGGGGTGGAGCCCCCAGGAAAGGAGGAGGGACCCCTGAGGAGCCTTCTCGGCTGGAGAGGAGATTCTGCTGCCCCCAGAAGCAGGGGAGGAAGAGGAGGGCTCCTGGGGGGCGGGAGGCGCCCTGGGGCGGCAGAAGCAACAAGGCCTTTTCCCTGGGCCAGTCACCCCAAGGGGCAGCTTCTCCCTAGAGAGGAAGGCAGCCCCACCCCAGTGGAAAAGCTGCCTTCCTGGGGGGCTGCGAAAGAGCCTCGGGCAGTTCGGCATAGGGCTGGGGGAAGCCCTTTCACAGGGAACTTCCTGGCGATGATGCCCACGGCTTCCTCCCAGGGTTGTTGGTCAACTGGCACCAAACTGTGGGCAGCCTATGAGAAGCGGCGGCTTCTGATGCTGGCAGCTGGTGACCTCAGTAGGGATGCTGGCAGACCTAGGGATCCAGCTGGCCTTCCAGGATTGCTCCCCCCAAATCACCAAAGGCGGAAGAACTCCGGAGGCAGCTGTGTAAGGCTGCCTTCCACTCTGCCCCTGGAGGCCGGCCTCTCTAGGCCATTTCTCGTTCCCCTCTGGGGCCTGGAGACTCACCTGCTGACAAGACGCATATCTGTGTGGTGTACTCAGCCAGTGCTGTCACCCGCTCAGGGTTATGCGCCTCCACGGTGTACTGCACTCGGCCCGAGAACCAATCTATGACGCTCAGGGAACCGTTTTTGTGCCCCAGAATTGGCAGGAATCTGGTGGGGAGAAACACACCGAGGGCACAAAGGTGCCCCCAGCTCTGACCCGTGGCAGAAGGCGTTTTGCCTGAGACTTTCCACCCTCTCAATGCCTCCCAAGACTGGCCTTTCAGGGTGGGTCTCCTCAGCCAAGGCCTCCAGGCCAGGCGCCTCTCCCTGAAATTCAAGAGCTGTCCAGGAGAAGCCAGGGCAGCCCCTCCCCCCCCAGGCAATGGCTGGAAGACACCCCCCCCCAGGGGACTCTACTGGATGCATGAGCAGGCCAGGCAGCGGCTGTGGACTGGAGCGCAGGGAGCGAGAGCCGGGGCTCCTGGGGGCCGCCTACCTGTTTCTGTCCTGCATGTTGATGGTGGATTTCTGCCAGTTCTTCCGGTAGCCCTGGTTCTGGATCACTTCCAGCCACGTGGCCTGCACCTTCTCCGCTTCCACCACGTGGCTGTAGAGCAGGATGCAGCAGGGCTTGGAGTCCCAGAAGCTGCTGCTGAAGGACCGCTTCACCGTCATGGGGCTGGTGGCAGCGTTGACGCGCAGCACCTGGCCTTGCTCCAGCAGCACAAAGAGCGTCTCCCGGGGCAAGCAGTAGGCCACGTCCCGAGCCGGGGAATACTGGTCCAAGGAGAGGATGGACACGGGGGCGCCACTCTGGGCCTCCAGCAGCTGCACCGTGGAGTCCCGGCAGAGGCAGAGGATGCGGGCAGGGAAGTTGCCCAGAAGGCTCAGGTCGATGCAGCTGAGCCGCTTGACGGGCGAGCCCAGCGCGGTGTAGAGCGAGTAGAGCTGGTTGATTTTCCAGAGGTTGAGGGTGCAGCCCGAGATGGAGAAGACGTGAGAACTGGTGTGGGTGTCCAGGGACTCCACGGGCTCCGAGACGTGGACCTGGTCTACCTGGTCAATGGTGTTGAGGTTCCAGGTGCGGATGGTCCCATCTTGGGAGGCAGAGAAGATGAGGGGGCGGCGGGGGTAGATGCTCACAGCAACGACTGGAGCTGCAGGCAGAAGGGAGGAGGGGGGGGGCAGCAAGAGGAAGAAGAAGCTGCAGGCCTTCCCCAGAGTTTGACTGCTCAGAGACCCTGGGGGGAGAACCAGCCGTGGGCTCAGCAGTCGAGGGCAGAGGAGCCTTCAGGAGACAAGAGGCTCAGCTCTCCCACCAGCCACTTTCAGGTGGATGGAAGCTTCGCCTGTTGAACTTCTAGCAGCCGTGTAGATCTTTGGAACGGGGCAACCCTTGTGCCCACCTCATCCTCCTTGTCCATAAGTGGGCAGGAAGGAAGGGCAAGGATGGGGAAGCCTTCCTCCTCCTGCTCAACCGACGGGCACCTGGGCAGCCGAACTCACCGGTGTGCCCCACAAAGACGATCTGAATGTGCCACTCCTTGTTCCACACCTTGATGGTGGTGTCCCGTGAGGCTGTGATGACGCAGCCAATGGCTTCACAATACGCAAGGTCTGTGATCTCTCTGCAAAGAGACACGGAGGCACCTGGAATTGACCCCCCCCCCGCCGTCTCTAAGCAGGACGGCACCTTGTTCACACCTAGCTGGAGGCACCAGTGCCTGGCCCAAGCCCGAGGCCAGCCCTGCGCCACAATACTGCCTTCTTCACGTACAAAGCAGCCTCAGATGGGGCGGGGGCACTGCCAGATCTCTCCTTCATTCCTCCCCCCCAAGTGAGGGATGCTGAGGACAAGAGGGGAATGGTACCTTTGGAGCCCCGTTCTGGCCTCCTGGAGATTTCAAGAAGCACTGGACCAAAGAGCGCTGAGCCAAGCCATGGGGCCACAGGGGGCCCTCCCCAGCCATGGCAACCTCACCTGCTATGAAGCTTCGTGCTGAAGGCCAGGAGACTCCCCCTGGAGATGTCAAAGGTGGCCACACCGGTGGCACAAGAGGCAAAGCAGCGGTGGGGCTCGCTGAGGCTGCCGGTGTCCAGGGCGAGGCGGACAAAGAGGTCAGTGGGCCCCAGGCCGGTGCTCACGCTGGCTCGGCACTGGAGGCTGCGGGAGCCATAGCGGAAGCTCCAGAGGGTCAGGTTCCCGTCTCCGGCAGTCACGATCCTGTTCAGCTGCTTGCTGTAGATGCCACAGCGGATGGGCAGGGAGGAGGGCACCTGCGAGAGCAGCTGGAAGTTGGAGTCCAGGACCTGCAGGCCTCCCGTGAACCAGGCCACAAACTGGTTGACGTGGGAGGCATAGAGGATGCCCGTCATGGGGGCCAGGCCCTTCACGCTCTCCCTGCAGCAGCCGTCCTCCGTCAAGAGGTGCAGCGTGTTGGCCGCGTCCAGCACCACGAAGGCCCTTCTCTGCAGGTCGTGGGTCACATGGCGTACGGGGCTGGGCAGGACGATGCGGCACTGGTGCTGCAGCCCATGGCTCAGGTGGAGGGTCTTCATCTCCTCGTTCTTCATCTGACCCGGGAAGAAAAGCCTGTGTCCGGAGGGGCCGGCTCTTTGCGAGGTTGTGGCTGGATGGGGACCTTGTGGCAGGACTGGCCATCGCCAGCCAGGACCCCGCCCTGAGTTCCCAACCCTCTTCCTCTCTGCGCCATCTGCTCCCTGGCAGTGCCAGCATGAAGCATGGGAAAGGTCTTCTTCTGCTTTGCAGGAGGCACAGCCCTGCCCACAAGGCTGACCATCAACCCTCAGAAGGGTCAAAAGAGGCCACGTCAGGCCACAGGGGGAGGGGGGGTGTTGCAGGGACCTTGTCCCTTTTAAAAGGTGGCTTTACTCCAGGGGGCCCCAAACGTGGCAACTTTAAGACTTGTGGACTTCAATTCCTAGAATTCTCCAGCCAGAATTGAAGTCCACAAGTCTTAAAGTTGCCACGTTTGAAGACTCCTACTTTCCTCTGACTGCTGGGGGTGGGGGTGGGGTCTCCTTATCCGTGGCCATCTGGTGGTGTGTGTGTATCTGACTGAAAGGCAAGACTCGGCCTCTTGGCAGGAGTGGGGGTTCCCAGCAGAGGTGGGGGTTCCTACCACCTCCACTGAACTGGTTGGAAGAGGTTCCACCAGTGGACCCGGAAAGCAGGCCACACCTACAGAAGAGCTTCCAAAATGTTTTTGAAACCCACCACTGGTTCCCAGACTTTCTTTGGAGGAGGGGCCAGTTATGTTTCTGCTGCCCCCATCAACCTACCTTCCCTGGGGAGCCTTGAGCAGAGACCGGCCCTGGCTCCCTTTGCCTGGTGTTACCCTGGGGCCCCTGGGGCCCTCTGCTGGACTGCGGCACACCTCTGGGTCAGAGGGGCCCTTTCCTTGCTCTGACTCCCCCACCCACCCTCCCCAGCACTGCCATGGGCACCCGACTCTGGATGCCACTCTTCCTCCTCCTGGCCGGGGACGATGGGGGCAGGCAGGGACGGCTTTTCCCGGCCCATTCGCTCGCCTCTGCCTTTTGTAGTCCTTAAACCTGTATGCTGCCCATCTCGGCAGAGGTGATCCTTGTATCGGATTGTTTCTGTGCCAATTCAACGCCTTTATCCTACCAATTTCACATATATTATTATCACAGAAATAAAATTTCCTTAAATTCTTGTGATGCCCTTTAAGAAAAGGTGCTTTTAAGCGCCTCTTAATTGTTCCTCTACCAGCCCACAGAATCCCAGGGGAGGGGAGGGGAGGGTGTCCAGCCCACGAAGCCGCAGAGAAAGGGCAGGGGGCTGTCCAGAAGGCAGACCCTCTGAGGAACATACCTTTTCCACAGCCCGGCGGAAGCCCCTCCGGAGGAGGGCCCAGAGCCTGCGCCCCCTTGCCTGCCCTGCTCGGAGGGGAGCCCCTTGCTCCTTCTTCATCTCCTCTTCAGCAGGCGGGGACTGCTGGTGCGGCCTCTTCCTCTGCCCCACTCGGCTGGCTGCAAAGGGGGTCAGAGGTTCAAGGGGAGAGGAGAGGGCTCCCCACCGGCCGGCAGGGGCCCAGCCAAGGGTCTGTGTGTGTCTGTAGCTTGCTTACAGCTGCTGCCCGAGGACTCCACCATCTTGGCAGCCGGGCACAAGAGCTGCCCTCCTGCTGAAGGAGGGGTGTGCGCAGCTGAAGGCCCCCAAAACAAGGTTCCCAACCAGATCTCAGGACTGGAGTTGACTCTGGAAGACATAAATGGAGGGGCAGCCAGAGGTTGGTCAAAAACGCCATCCAAGGTTGCCATCAAAGCTGATCTCTTCTTTTGATCGTTCACAGATGATGCCAGGAGGCCGGGACACCCCACTGGCTACCAGCTCCCCTGGGCTGCTTGGGGTCCTCAGGGGGTCCTGCAGCTCCCTGGGGTGGATGTGCAGTTAAGTGGCCACGGGCAGGAGAACGTTGCAAAGGAAGGTTCTAGGCCAGTGTTTCTCAACCTTGGTAACTTGAAGATGTCCGGACTTCAACTCCCAGAATTCCCCAGCCAGCGAATGCATTCGCTGGCTGGGGAATTCTGGGAGTTGAAGTCCGGACATCTTCAAGTTACCAAGGTTGAGAAACACTGTTCTAGGCAGAAAACCAGCTGCATTACCCAAGCCATCCATTTCAATGGGTCCTTGTGTTATACAACTGATTCCGCAAAGCGTCCAAACTTATTGTGACTTGTAAAAACAGGTGGTCCTCACTGAATGACCCCCGCAGGGATTGGAAATTCTGCCACAAAGTGATGCAATAGCTAAGTGGGAAATCAGTGCCCGCCATTGTGCTTTGCAGATGGAAAGAAACAAGACTAGTCAGGTTCACCCCTCGTGCTTCCATTTGCCTAGAATAGAATAATAGAACAGAACAGAGCTGGAAGGGACCTTGGAGGTCTTCTAGTCCAGCCCCCTGCTCAAGCAGGAGAATCTATGCTATTTCAGATAGTATATCTGCAGGTATCCTCTTGCCAAGAGACGCCTTCAACCATGGCAATTTTAAGACATGGACTTCAACTCCCAGAATTCCTCAGTGGCCCACCAAGTCATAAAGTTGCCAAGGTTGGAGACCCCTCCTTTAGAAGGCACCACTGCCGTGTCACTTTCTTGTACGTACTGAAAGCGATGTGACCGTGCTATGGGCCGGGGCCGAGAGCTGCGGGCACAGTAGGCAAACCGCTTACAGAAGCCCCCTGAAATCCCTTTCTTTCCACTCTCTGCCCCACGGGGTGGAAATGGAAAGGATCAGAAAAAGGAGGGAGGGCACAGATCAGAGGGATGGAAGAGAAATGTTTTTTAAGGAGTCCTGGAAGCTGCTTGCGTAGCCCACCTGTGGCTCCCAGTGCAGGCCGTGGTGCATTCGCACAGCTTTCGATATCCAACAGGCAACCCCCCCTTGGGGAATTGTACCAATGAAGGAAACAACCCCTGAAGGTGGGAGGGGCTCCTTCAGCTTGGCTCTTCTCTGGCACAGTCACCTGAGCCAAGCTAGGTAGCATCACCAGGGCTAACATCAGTGAAGGTGCCTCCCTAGTTTGGGGAATGAAATGTCTGCAAGAAAACAAGGGAGGCCAGAGAGCCCCGAGGAGCCCCGGGGAGGGTTTTTGTTTAAAAAAAAATTCTTTTTTTCATCCCACTTTAATTTTTTTATAACTAAAGAGGAAAACCCAGGGCCGGCGGAGGACTCCCCGACAGGCAGCAACGCCATCAGAGGACGGAGAGATGCTGCCAGGATGGTCATCAAGGGGCCGTAAAATTCCCTCGTCAACACTACCGTGGCTGCCATCGCTCGGGGACCAAACGGTTGGGAAGTGAAGATTAGGCGCAAAGGCAGAGCGGGGTTCCGCGGCGGCACCGCAGCCGCCTCCGGAGCGCGGCAGCCTCGTCGAGGGCGCGAATACCCCCCTCACCCCGAGTGTATTCCGGCACGCCTCTCCCCCGAGAGCCCGCAGGCGGATGATGGGCGAGCGCCCCCGCCGGACCCCGCAAGGCAGCCCAGCTTCGGGCTCAGCTCCTGCCCGGGGGAGGCAGCGCCCGCTTTGGTATCACTTGCACTGCGCCCATCCTCGGCAAGCCGCGCGGCAGCCCCGCGGAGTAGGCCTGCGCTGCATCTGGAGCCACGCGCGGCGCTGCCACGCTCCCGGGGGTCGCCCGCTTACCTAGGGGGCGGACGGGGGCTGGGAAGGGAAGCAGGCGGCGCGCCACGAGACGGCTGCAGGAGGCCGAGCGGACAGGAGGAAAGAAACGGCCGTTTAGGAGGTCCCGCCCGGCATCCCCGGCAACCGGCCCGGGAGCCCTTCGGAGGAAACGGACCTTTCGCCAGCCAAAGGCCGGACGAAGCGCTCCCCTCGGAGGGGCGGCCGCGCTCGCCCGAAGCCTCGCGACCCCTCCACCCGCCCGGCCAGGAGCGGCTCACCTGCGCCTGGAGGCACCTGGCGGCGGGTCTCCCTGGCGACGGCCGGGCGGTTGCGGCGCCGCTTCCTGCAGGCCGGGCGTAGCCGGAGCCAGCCGAGCGCTCTCCCTCCGCACACGGGCCGCCCCGGGACACTGGTCTCCGGCGCCGATCGTCCCGGGCAGACGGATTGAGAGCCCTGGCCCAAGCCCAGCTCACCCGGGCTTTGATCGCAGCGGGGACCGAGAACCCCGCCCCGCCTGCTTTCCACCCTGTCCCAGCGCCGGCCGCCCCTCCGCCGACTCCGCGCGTGGAGCCCGAGAGCAGAGGGGGCGGGGGGGGGGTCAGGCGGTCGCCGCCGCCCGCAGCGTTTGCAGATCCGTGACCACCCGGGGCGCCCCTTTTGCTCCCCCGCCCAATTGGGGTTTCTCCTTTTGTGGAAAACGCTCAACCAGAGGAAGGGGCTGCCCGGCCTCCCCCCCTGGAGGGCCAAAGCAGACAAGGAGCCCCCAGGGCTCATCCCCCCTCCTGCTTCACCAGCGCCCCAAAAATCCACCAGACAAAAGTCAGAGAGAAAAAACCTTTATAGCCAACAGAACCACTAGCCAACAAGGGGGGGGGGGAGTTGAATGTCTTCCAGAGGGACCAACCATTCCAGGGGGGGGGG